CTGATGCAGCTGCTACTTCCACTTCACTAGCTATCGTTGCCCACCAGTTCTCACGGTCTTTCTTGAGGCTCTTCTTGATTTGACGTTTCAGACGCCACCTAACCCTGCCTTGATCCCGGATGGTTGGGATTTGCCACGTTTTCTCCATCAGTGCTCCTGACTGATCAGATATTCAATGCCTTGAGCAGACTACCGCTTCAGATCCACAAGCGACCTTCGCCGCGGAGTGCATTGCTCGTCTAATCTGATCCCATTGTTCATCTGTACTACCACCCCGCAGCGCGTTTAGCCCCTGTCTTAGTTCCGATTCAAAGCGGGCATGAACGGTTGAATCACATAAGCGATGACTTGCCAATCGAGTTTGGTTGGATTTTCTGCAACCAATGAGATAGAGAGTAAACTGCACCAAAACTAACGCAGGTGGTCCAATAGGACCTACAGTTTTGTACTGTTGACGGAGATCCAGTGAATTAGTGCGAAATGCAGTGATGCGAACTTCACTGGTCGCTGCCAACTCGCTATGCATACAGTGGCAGTGCTAATATTCAAGATGAACAAGGACTGAACCTATTCTGAGGGACGGAGATTAAGTTGAACCTCTGTGGGGAACAGAGAGTGCACAATTTAACGGTGTAAACATACCGTTACACGCATTCTGACCCCATAAGAAATGACAAAAACGCGGACAATACGTCGTAAACAAGTTAATTGAAGATTAATCATTGTTGAGCATCCTCGACAGATGTGCTGCTTCGCGTGAGTGTAAAGCAAAACTTAATTGTTGCATTGAACCTCCGTCCCTTAAGAGAGAAAAGCCATTGAAAATCCAGTCATATGAAGGTTTTTTCCGGCGTTCATTCAAGTTTACTGATTACGACATTGTTCTGCTGTCAATATAAGTGGTTCGAAATGTTTTATCACTCTTTTCTTTTTTTTTTAGTCAGAGTCAAATGCAGTGTCAATACATCGGTTTCCGCGTCAAGTTATGCTCAACACAACTTGGCGATGTTGAGGGGACAGTCAACAAAGTTGCAGAAAATAGGATTGAGTTATCTCAAGCCATAATGAATGGGAAAGGTTTGCCCATTCCGTCACTTGTTGTTGAGTAAGTTACTTTTTAACTTACTGTCCCGGTATTAAAACATTCACGTGCCTCACCGACGCCATTGTCCCTTGTGTTGTTGATGTCGAGGTGCTAAGGAAACTGCATGAAAACCCCCATTCTACGCTGATTTTGTGCATATCGAAACCCTAAGGATCCTGTTACTGACTGTTCGATGCATGCGGCAGTATTAGATAATCAAAAATACATGAGAATCCTGTCATTTTACACGTTATTCAGTCGCCCGGATGTAGTTTTGCAGTAACACTTGATCGACTGTAGTGATTCGCCTTGTTTTCCCCCCGTTAGACCCATAATCTTTTCACCTTGATATTTCGAAAACATGACCGTGTTTCATTCTGTTTTGTTCTACTGACGCCAAACATATCGCGTCATACAACAACTACTGTATAGTTTTAGGAACGTCTTTCAGTCAGAGCTTATGCTGTGATCAAATGTCACAAATTATACAAATGTCTAAGAAATTGACGTGTCTAACGTTCATTTTACCCATGGTGGGAGTGGGTAGAATGTGTGTGGCTTGCGTGCGGGTGATGAAAAGGTCCAGTGACACCACAACACCAAGTTGTTCATGGGATATCATTTGAATAGTGGCGGTGACGCAGTGGTTTAGTAGCTGTCACCGGCGTGCTTTGGACTCTGGTCCGAGGTTCGAACCTCGCCACCCAACTTTAGTGGTAGGCAGCTCTGCTGTCGTCCGGTTCAATACCCGCATTACTTGGTGGAGCCTTATGTGATGAGCTTCACCTCGTCTGCTGCTCACCACACAAAGTGTGTGATAGAAAAATCTACCTAACCTTTTTGTTCGATTTACACGGGTCCAAGGTGGCTGAAGTGCTTAGGCTAATAGTACTTTTGGGCGTAGATCGGATAGTGATGACTCCCTTCGTATTTAAATTCCACTTTCGTATTTGCTTGGGTTGTTTGGGGAACCGAATTTTGTGTTTAATGCGATTGTGAGTGAATCAGTTAGTCTTCCAGAGTTCGTATCTTCTTTCTGACGGGATTCTCATAAATAATTCCTCTTGCACGGAAGACAATTGTTCCTTAGTTAGAGTTCACTGCATATTTTTATTAATCAATCTATCGGAGAAGCTGTTCTTTTAAAGCTCACTTTTAAAGGCATCTACGGAACATGTGATACAAACCTAGTGACTTAGGCAATGAACTGTCTAGATTGTAACGTAGTGTGGCCAAACCACAGCTTTATGTTGTCTGTTCTATGTTTTCTTCCAATGTTTTCGCCTGTGGAGCGACTCATCAGTTTTAGTTTGTACAACCATTAACCATACACCGTGCGGTGGTTTTGGTTGCTGTCTTTTCGCTACCCATTTGGATGAAAGATAGGAGAGACAGGAGGGTTACAAGTAGAGTCGATCAGAAAATGGAGAATTTCAGTGGTCTAAGGTTGCAAAGAAACTGAGAAGATGCACGAACGCCTGTTTAAGACAAGCAACCATATCACTCAGTGTCTCTAACCATCAGTTACGATCATTCTGAGGTCCTCAGCTAGGGAGCCTGACGTGACCCAGTATCGTGGTTAAGGATTTCATACTCGTGCCAGGTCTTAGGTTCACCTGCCTTGGCTTTCTTCCACCCACTGCTTGCCTCGATAAGCACTGCTCGCCGTGGCAACCTATTTGGTGATATGCGTAACACATGCCCCAACCAACCCGCTTGTCTGCATCTCAGAGACGGTATTTTGTTTTTCCTTGGGAACTTTCGACTATCATGGACTTTATCGAGTGATTATGACGGATCCAAAGGACTGAATGGTTGCTTGAAAACACTGTAGAGACGGCACTTTAACGTGACTTATTGGTTTTTGCACCTCTATAACTCCCAGTGATTTTTGTCGAGTTAAAATATCTGATCGGTTGGCAAAGGAAGTCAGACAGCCAGTTTTCTGATCTTCCAGATTGCCTTGCGGTCAGTTTCTTGTTAGAACTAAAACCTTCGGACGAGAACCCGAATCGTTCTCCTGCATACACAACCAAAAATAATTACATACTACATCAGCCGTCGCGCAGGATAATCGGGACCGCGTTGCCCATTGCATCGAGCGGGGTGGGTAGTGATAAGCGGACTACTGCTCATCTATCCCCTTTGTTTAACTCTTTCTCTTCCGTACCCAACCCTCTCCTTTTACCCCTTCTTCCAACCTGTAACATTCCCTCGTCATTTGGCAAAGTTCTTCACAAATTAGCTCGGTAAGTAGTTTACCACAAGATAGACGGCAGACTCTGAAGCCTCGTCAAACACTGAGTCTGGGGACCTTCAACGTGAGGATTGTGATGCAAGCGTGTCTGGCGCGTACAATTGATGTTGGGGATTGATGTCTGCTGCGTATCCGAAACGCGAGTCCAGCATCCTAGTACTATAAGCCACTTAAATGTACCGGGGTTGTCTTCAAGGTTCTTCCTCCGCACGTCAGTTGACAGCGAAGCTCGTTCAGTAGGCCAGCGCGGTGTGCGCATCGTACTCAACAATACAGCCAAAGCCGCACTAATCGATTGGATCCCCGTCAACAGTCGCTTATATGCGATGCGGCTCCAAGGGTCTATCAGCGTCCGGAAGGGAAGCAACACCAAAAGGTGGTTATTCGTCATGTCAGCGTTTGCACCGACCAACTGCAGTTCTGACACAAAAGGACGAATTTTGTGATAGACTCACCGAACTCGTTCGGTTGAGTCGGAGCTCCGATATACCTGTTCTCGCAGGTGATTTTAACGCTCAAGTTGGAAAATTGAGCTCATCGGAATCTTGAGTAGGCGATCATTGTACTCTACCCTACCAGTAAACAGATAATGGCGATCGACTCCTTCAGTTCTGCGCAGACCATCATCTGTTCCTATCCAACACCAACTTCCGACAGCTCTAAACGGACTGCAACGTGGTGCTCAG